TACGTTTGGGTTTGTGTGTACGTGTTTATTACAGCAGAATTCTACCTGTTTTTTTATTTGACTTTCTTGCGCCTTCTGTGTGTGTACATCAATATATATATATATATATATATGTGTGTGTGTGTGTGTGTGTGTGTGTGTGTGTGTGTATATGTGTGTGTGTGTGTATATATATATATATATGGGGGTATATATATATGTGTGTGCGTATATATATATATTTTTGTGTGTATGTATATATATATATATATATATATATATATATATATGTGTGTGTGGGGGTATATATGTATGTGTATATGTATATATATATATGCGTGTGTGTGTGGGTATATATATGTGTATGTGTATATGTATATATATGTGTGTGTGTGTGTATATATATATATATATATATATATATATATATATATATATATGTGTGTGTGTGTGTGTGTGTGTGTGTGATAATCTTGATGATGCGTAGTCTACATTCAATGAGATCTGCCCAAACCTGAATTGGGCGAAGGGCCGTGGAGACAATTTAAATACTCCCTTCTCCTCACTCATTTCTCATTGGTCATTGAATGATGGGAGCATCGCGTGTGCTACGTCGATTGCATTTCTTTTTGTTTTAACTTATTTAATAATTCGTTTCAAGATTTAAACTTTCCATCCGCAGACGGTAAGTACCTTGAAAACCTCATGCAGAGCGATTTTAGCAAAATTTATTGATTTTACGATTTCGTCTTCTCAAAATAATCTTGCTGATTCTGAATAGACATTTTAAAATCGAAATCGGAATATAAAAATGAGCCTCAAGTTTATTTCTTTATAAAATTCCTTTTTTTTTTTTTTTTCATCATTTCACCCCAAGCAAGGTACGAATGTCACTGGGACGCAAGACGTTAGAGAATATGAGAGAGAACAATAAAAGAACACGAAATAAGAAGACAGAAGATGAAGATTGACATTTGTTATATAGGAATAAAGTATTACTGCCGACAGTTGAGTTTGAACTTATATCGCCGGTGAGCAAACACAGACGATCCCATTATTAAATTAAGTAGACCATGTGACCATAGAGAAAAGGCATATATAGGAAGTCTTGTGATGTCTAAATGATCTGCATTTCTACTCTATCCTCTATTACTATATGGAGCGCTATTCTCTATTCTCTTCTCTCCACTGTTCTATATCCGTATCAATGCTGTGATTAACTTTGAAACAAGTATTATCGAGAAAGTACTTTTCGTACGAGTGATATTCGAAGGCGTCTGACACCAGTATTGTTCAACGGCGTTACTATAATTGTATCTGCCCTTGGTAAATCTCTATAACAACGAGTATTTACGAAAGTAGTAGTGAAATCGGCTGAAAAGAGCTTGGCGGAAAATAGGATTCGTTTGGAATTTAGCTACACTTTGGTATTTATTAACCAATAAAAAGATTGGATTTGCAAAAACGATATGATGATTGGTTAAAGGCTTTTCAGAGAAGAATGCATTTTTCTGAAGGGGTTAATATTGCCAGTAATACATTTTAGTAAACAATATTACCAGCAATACATATTTGAAGAAAAAATTATTACCAGCAATACATATTTGAAGAAAAAATATTACGAACAGTACATATTTGAAGAAAAAAATATTACCAACAATACATTTTTGGAAAAAAAATATTGCCAGCAATACATATTTGAAAAAAAATATTACCAGTAATACATTTTGTGAAAACAATATTATCAGCAATACATATTTGAAGAAAAAATTATTACCAGCAATACATAGTTGAAGAAAAAATATTACCAGCAATACATTTTTGCAAAACAATATTACCAGTAATACATATTTGAAGCAAAAAATATTACCAGCAATACATTTTTCAATTAAAAGTATTACCATTCCCCCAAATATTCCCAGCAATAATCGTATAATTGATTATTGTCCTACTAGAGGGTTTAGGTCCTTGATCTGGTTATCATGCAAAGGTTCTTTTATCGTAAATTAGAATTGATTAAAAAAATTACAAATATTTTGGACAGTAAATGATCACACATATAAAATTCTTTCGTATTCTATTAGTAAGAAGGAAATGTCATTCGAACAGACTTTTACCAAGACCTGCAACATTTTGTAAAAGACTCTTGGAGAAGATTCTTCACCGATCAATAAAATCACATACTTTTCAAGTCTAGAGTTAACTGTTATCTTTCCTACATATCATCATAAACTGCACTTCTTCCGCCCACACAGGAACCTTAATAATTATTCCACCATACTGAGTATCTTTTGGGCCTTGTATTGGAGAATAGAGATGATTATCAAATGTACTCTCAAACGTAAAACAAATATATCGGAAATCACTCATAGAATTAACTGGTAAAATACACCCTCACCTTCCGTATTCAATGAGAATGTCCCCGACAAATTACTTCTTTTTTCAGCGTTTAGATGCATATGTGTGTGTATCAGGAGTTTTAGACCACTGCGGACTTGGTCGAGATCCCTTCTAGTTATTTATCGATTCGAATATAAGTTCAGTTCTTGACGCAGTGAAAGAAATTGAGAACAGTATCGTTGACATCATTCTGTTGAATCTAATGACGCTTACTTCGACTCATAAGGTAGTGTGTCGTACTGAGTGATGCCATTTTAACATCTGTGGTTCAAAATAGCAATTTATTCTATCAAAATCTTGAAGAAAATTCAGAAGAAAGTGAAACGGAGAGAAGAAAGGGAAAAAAAGAGAATATTATGAAGAAAAAGAAATAAAAACGAACAGAGAAAAGACAAATGAATTCACCAAAAGAAAGAAAGAAAGAAAGAAAGAAAGAAAGAAAGAAAGAAAGAAAGAAAGAAATTAGGGAGAGAGTGATCAGTTAAAGGTACAAATGAAAAAAAGATACTTAGAATAAGGCCTGACAAAAACAAAAGAAAGAAAGAAATAAAGAAAGAAATTAGGGAGACAGTAATTAGTTAAAGGTACGAATGAATAGAGAAGATATTTAGATAGAATAACGCCTGAAAAAAAAACAAAAGGAACAAAAAATGAAAAAGGATAACGAAAATGAATAAAGAGAGGACGGAATAAAATAAGCAAGAATGATAATGACGGTTGAAGACGAACGAAAAAGATTTATTGAAAAGAAAGAAGACATAAAATAATCTGATAAATAATAAAAAAGAAAGTAAAAGAAAGCGAAGAAAAATACATCAAAGGAAATAAAAAGTATACTCGAGGGATAAAAATAAAAGAAAGAAAGAAAGAAAGAAAGAAAGAAAGAAAGAAAGAAAGAAAAAAATTACTTGCAAACAAAGCATTTCAAAACGTAGTAAAAAAACAAAAGAAAGAATGTAAAAAAATAAAAACAAAGTACAGTAAAAAATGAAAATGAAAAATAAAGATATATCAAATGAGAAATTTACAGAAAATATGGAAAAGAAAGAAAAAAAAAAGAACTGGAATATCGGTTTATTTAAGGATAATGTTCGAGAAAGAAAGAAAGAAAGAAAGAATGAAAGAAAAAAAGAAGGAAAGAAAGAAAAAGAAAGAAAGAAAATGAAAGTAAAAAGAAGAAAAGAAAGAAAAAGAAAGAAAGAAAGAAAGAAAGAAAGAAAGAAGGAAAGAAAGAAGGAAACAAAGAAAAGAAAGAAAGAAAAAACGAAATAAAAAGGAGGGAAAGAAAGAAAAAGGAAGGAAGGAAGGAAGGAAGGAAGGAAAAACGAAAGAAAAAAGAAAGAAAGAAAGAAAGAAAGGTAAAACGAAGGAAAGAAAAACGAAAGTAAAAAGAAGGAAAGAAAGAAAAAGAAAGAAAGAAAATGAAAGTAAAAAGAAGAAAAGAAAGAAAAAGAAAGAAAGAAATAAAGAAAGAAAGAATGAAAGAAAGAAAGAAGGAAACAAAGAAGGAAACAAAGAAAAGAAAGAAAGAAAAACGAAATAAAAAAGGAGGGAAAGAAAGAAAAAGGAAGGAAGGAAGGAAGGAAAGAAAAACGAAAGAAAGAAAGAAAGAAAGGTAAAACGAAGGAAAGAAAAACGAAAGAAAAAAAGAAGGAAAGAAAGAAAAAGGAAGAAAGAAAGAAAGAAAAAAAACGAAAGAAAACAGAAAGAAAGAAAGAAAGAAGGTAGGAAAAAAGGAAGAAAAAAAAAGACAAAAGAAAAAAGAAGGAAAGAAAGAAAAAGGAAGAAAGAAAGAAAGAAAGAAAGAAACGAAGTAATACACAAAAGTAGAAAAAAGGTAAAAGAAAGTACCGTGAAAATGAGCAATGTAGAGGAAAAAGAAAAATAAAGAAAGGAAGAAAAAGAAGGAAAGAAAGAATGAAAGAAAAAAGAAAAAAGAATGTATGAAAGAAAGAAAGAAAGAAAGAAAGAAAGAAAGAAAGAAAGAATGGAAGGAAGAAATAAAAACGAAGAAATACAAGAAGTAGAAAAAAGGTGAAAGAACAATGAAAATGAAGAATGTAAAGGAAATGAGGAAAAGAAAGAAAGAAAGAAAAAGAGAGAAAAATAAAGATTACAAAAAAATGCGAGAAAAGGTTAAATTAATAATAAGGGAAGCAGGGAAGTTTGATTGACATAAAATAAAAAGAAACAGCTCCCCCCCTCCCCTACGCACACATACACCAACACCAATTCGCAAATATTTCATATTTTATCCATGAAAACTCAAAACCGAATCATTTCTCAAAGTCCAAAGAGAAAATCAAATGAATTGAAGAGAAAAAGAAAAATGATTTTCAGGTGAAAAATGGAGCAACAAAAATGACAGCCAAAAAGGATTCGTATTTCTAAAATTTGGATCGTAAATTCTACCTCTTGCATTTCTTGTTCTTTTTGTTTTTACTTCTTCTTTTGTATTCATGGCTGGTGTTTTTCGAGGCTTTGGATTTTTGTCATTTGAGGTTGTAATGTATGATACGAGTGACTGCCAAAAAACGGAATCAAACATTCGCAGAAAATATTCAGGACTGAAAAGTGACGGTTTCAAAAGAAAGATTTATAATTGAAAGATCGGTGCTTTGTCATCGGAACCAGAAGAAAAACAAACACAAGAATAAATATAAAGAAACATGATGAGCAAGAGACTGGAGAAAAAAAAAAGGATATAAAAGAAAACTAAGCGATAAAGAGAGAAAAAAAACTTTTAGATTAGAAGAAAAATCAATAGAAATAATGAAAAACAAAACAGGAAAGAAGAGTAAAAAAAAAGAAAATATAAAAAGAGGAGGAAAGGAAGGAATTAACGGGCAAAAGTAAAAAGAAAAAAGTAAGAAAGAGAGGGAAGGAGACAAAGAAGAATTCAAAAAGAAAAAAAAGAAGAAAAGAAGACGGTAGAAAGGGAAAGAAAGACTGCAAGTCGGAAGAAAAAGTAAACATCTAAGACTTAAGAATAAATAAAGAAGGGAAATAAAAGAGGAAATGGTAAGGAAAAAGACAGAGAAGGAAGGAAACTGTTAAAGAAAGAAGAGAAGTAAATTGAAGAAAACGTGAAAAGAAGTAAAAAATAAAGAAATTAGAAAGACAGTAATCAGTTAAAGGTACAAATGAAAAGAGAAGTTACTTAGAAAGAATAATGCATGAAAAAAAAAGAAAATAGAGACGCAGTGAGAGAACGAAATGATGAAGGAAGGAAATAAGAAGGAAAATGAATTAACAAAGAATAATGGAGAAGGAAAGAAAGAAAAATACAAATAGAAATAAAAAGAGGGTAGGAAGAAAAGGAAAGTCGGGTGAAGAAGAAGGAAAGATGTAAGGAATGTAGGAAAGAAGAAAAAATAAAGAAGAAGATTTAATAAGAAACTTATCAGAAAGTAAATCTGAAGAAAAAATGAAAGGAATTAATCAAGGATGGAAGGAAGGAAGGAATAAGTAAGTGAGGAAGGAAGAAGTCAAGGAAGGAATAACTAAAGGAATCACGGAATGAAGAAATGAATGAAAGAAGGAAAGAAAGAATGAATGAATAAAAATATGAAGGAATGAAAGAATGAAGGAATGATCGGAGAAAAGAATGAAAGAATGAATGAATGAAGGAATGGAGGAAGACAGGAAGAAAATAAAGAAAGGAATGAATAAAGGAAAGAAGAAAGGAAATAATTAATAAAGGAAGGAAGGGATGAAAGAAGGAAGGAATAAAAGAAGGAAAAAGGTTAGAATAAATAAAGGAAGGAATAATGGAAGAAATGAAAGGAAGGAAGGAAGGAAATAATGAATAAAAGAAGGAAGGAATGAAGGAACGAATGAATGAAAGCTGGAAGAAATGAAAGTAGGAAAGAATAAATAAATAAAGGAAGGGTGGAATAATGAGTTATTAAGAAAGAAAATTAAAAGAAGATGATGTAGGTATCTTAAAAAAATGAATGAAAATGAAAGGAAGAGGCGTTAAATATAATGAAGGAAAATGATGGAAAAGGAAAAAAGCAAATATATAAAACGATGGGAGAAGAAATAAAAAGAAGGAATTATGGAGAGATTAAGACGAGAAAAAAGAAATATAGAGTATACCATATATTACACCCACAATTACTTGAGTCATATCACTGGATCTAGCCACCGCTTTTATCCACTGTGCCCTTGAAGATAACAGATCCTTATTTTTTAGACTATAAACTTAATCACACAGTAGCCAAATAAAGAGTTGTGAGTTCAATATCTGGCTACTGCAGGGGTGAACGAAAACATGGAGTTTTGACTTAAAGGTAGATAACCGAGACATCCGAAAGAGGTATGACACGTGGGACTAGATCAATCTACCCCAGTGGACGAATTCAAGGGTACAGTTTGAAATTTAAATCACCTGAAGAAGGCCGGAACGTACAATGGTCGAAAGGTCTTGGATATGGCAATAAACATGAGAACAACAGTCCAAACAATGTAAATAATTTAAATAATCATCCTTTGCACATTGTTAATGTTAACTAGAAGTTCCAAAAGTTCTTTGTGAACTAGATGAATAGAATTGTGTAGAAACGGAAAAGGGCAAAGTGATTGAAGTGATGAAAGTATAAATGTGAATTTAAAAAATTACAAAAATTATAGCGGCATGCGGAAGTAAGGCGGAGGAGTATGGGAATGAAAATACAAATGAAAGGAAGAGGACAATATAGAAAAGGAAAAGGAAGAATAATGAACAATATGCAAAAATGAAAGAAGAAATGAATCGGGTTACGTCCTCCTAATTTTCGAAACTGCACCTAGGAGACGTTCTCAGGACTATAAATAGTCGGTGGCATTCTCTGTCATCCTCTTTTTTTCCTTTTTTCACTCAGGGACAACAGATGTAGGTCTAACGAGGAAAACGCTTTCCTACTGGGGAACGTGCACATACGCATGCACGTACGAAACCACTTTTCACTTCATTTTCTCTAGAAATTTCTTCTACACTAAACTACACACACACAAACAATTCACGAGTTTAAATGTTTTCTTCGTCATGTTCATTGTTCAGTAACGCGCAACAATATTCTATTGTTTATATATAAGCTTATTGTGTTAATATATACATTATCATTTGTTTGTTCATATATATTGGTTCCTCTCGTTTCTTTACATGGGCACACATCTCGAGTCTGCCATGTGTGTTGTGGGCATTTCAGGAGACCCACGTGTTTAACTCTCAACGCGTACACCGGCCAGCAATAAAGGAAAAGAGAAAGAAAACACGGAAATGATGAAGGGAAAAATTAAAAAAGGAAGAGGAAGTGGAAATAAAGATGTAGAAATCGATTTATGTAAGGATAATTAAAGAAAGAAAGAAAGAAAAAAGAAAGAAAGAAAGAAAGAAAGAAAGAAAGAAAAAGAAAGAAAGAACGAAATTATATAAAAAACGAAGAATATAAGGAAGAAAGAAAAAATGGTTTAGAATAGATAAAAATGAAAAAAAAAGAATAGAACAAAGAAAGAAAGAAAGAAAGAAAGAAAGAAAGAAAGAAAGAAAGAACCAAATCAGTTCAAAACAGTTACTCAGAACTAAGTAATCAATGGATGAATGAAAAACGGAAGAAATTGAATATGAATGAAGAAAGAAAGAAAGAAAACAAGAAAGTAAGAAAAAAAAAGAAAGTAGGAAAGAAATGTAAATACCAAAAGAAAGAAAACTGGAATTAGTGAGAGAAGAGGGAATAAAAGAAAGAAAGAAAATGGTTTCAGATAAGACGGAATGTTGCGAAGAAGAATTAAGATGAAAGAAAAAAGGGGAAAAAAAGAAGAAGATAGCTTCAGATTAAATACAAATTTGAAAAAAAGAACTATGATGAAATGAAAAAAAAGAGGATGGAATAGGAAAAGAAAAAAGAGAAAGTTCCCAGTCCATTCCATACCCATCTGCTTTTCCCAACCCATTTGGCGAAATTGTGCATGGAACATTTTCCACCCTCTACCTGTACTATAAAAAGCCTTAAAAAGTTTATTATTGGTCCATAAACTGACTTTATGATGCAGTAAAAAATACCAAAACGGAGGGGGTAACTAGTAACGTTGATTTATACTATGGCTGCTGCTGCTACTAACAAACAAAAGTAAACTTGACCATTCAAAATTAATATATATATATATATATATATATATATATATATATATATATATATATATATATATATATATATATATATATATATATATATATATATATATATATATATATAATTTAGGATCAAAGTTAGTTTTTTATTGTTATGGTTAGTATTGCAAATTAAATGATTTTTCTTCATAATTATGACATTTAAAAATACAGACGACTAGTCAGTAATAAAAAATCTAGCGAATATTTTTTGTTGTTCATAGTTTTCCTTTATCTGATTTTTGAATCTCAAAACAACTATTTCGACTGAATAACTATTTGAATGTTAATGACCATTGCAAAAACTACCAAAAATACCAAAATATTAAAATATCTATATTGTATGTAGGAATGTGACCCATTTATGACCATTTAGTCTTCTTCTGGAGGGATTACCACGACAAATGTTTTTATTCTATTACGTAGTTGTCGGAAGTGTGGTTGAGATGCTTCAGTTAAATGAAATGTACTTGTCCTGTCATCAGGGTACTGTATTATTTTGTAGTTGAATGTAGTACGCTCTGGAAAATGCGTCGGTAGTGTAAATTGTTCAATGGTTGCTATTAAAATTTGTCTAATTACAATGCTCCACGTTGTACTGATTGTTATTCGGAGATAATATTGTTGGCGCATAAAATTTACTAGAAGCAGCTGATCTAGAATTCCTACCGCGTGTCGAATGATGCATCTTTAGGATCTTTAAAAAAATTTGCTGTTATTTTTGATTGCATATCATACTTGCAAATCCTTAGTGTTGTTCGAGTGGCATCGTGGAAGAGTAAAAAAAAAGGACAGTGAGTCGCCTTTTGAGATGTGTCACACTTTATCTGATGAGTCCAGAAAAAACAGCCTTGATTAAATTTGAAATATTTTCGTTTTGTCGAAAAAAAATGAAAGATTTTCTTAACATTTAGTAATATATTTATTATCACATATAATATTTATCTTATATCGTATATAATATTGTTTTGTTATTATTTGTACTTATAATATTTATTTATTATAACCCATTTAGTTATATACTAGCAGCATGGCCCGGCGTTGCCCGTGCTTAATTCAAAAATCGTACGACTCATACAGCAATCGCTATCACGTGACTTAAAATATTTTTGCCCTTTCTTGCCTTTAAAGGAGTGCCCTTTGCCGTGATGATGTTGCTACATGCCTTAATTCTTGCCTATCTCACACTGCGAATTTTTTCTAAGCTCTATACTAAACATTAAATCTGTTACGGAAAAAGAAATAAACAAAATGAACACAAGACGATCAGCTTTAAAAAAAGGACTCGTAACTGGAAAAACCGAATGAAAAAAAATGTTAACAATAATTACTTTTTCACACCCAACCCAGTTCTGCGGAATCAGAATCAACGTTAAGTTTAAGCAAGCGAATGAGCCAATTGGAGTAAAGTGCCATGCAAATTTAAATTTTCCACTTCCATTGCCATATTTATATTCCGTTCAGCAATGAGGTTGATACTTTCACTTATTTCACTATTGACACAGTTAAAAATACTTTACTGTTCACAACCTCACTGATTAGTCCTTTGTATGACAATAAACTACATCCGACAGCAAGAAATTTGATCAGGACGTTTAGAGGAGCATAGAATCACCTCTTAATTGCTGTAGTTCTCGGGTCCCCCCTGATCAGGGCTAATGACTCCTGTAAGGATTCCAGCTATAAGCAAATATTTAACCACCAAACTGGGGTTAAAACAAGTTTTAAAAAAATAGGTTGTTATGGTAAAACAATAAGCAATATAATTTGGAAAAAAATATTACCAGCAATACATTTTTGAAAAAAATATTACCGGAATATACATTTGACACTCTACAAAAGAATACACCAATGAAACCTGGTCTAAAAACCGATTCTTACAAAGAAGACATATTCTATTGATACAAAAAAATCCTGAAAATCTTGTCGACATTCAATAACCCGTTGGCATTGTTATGTTGTAAAGAAAAATACACCAGACCAGACAAAACCTCCCTGATTGGTTTGCTGTTTTTGTTTGCTGTTTTTATTTGGTGGCATATCAACACCTCTATCGGTTATTTAATATTGAAATATGAATATTTTGTACCAAATTCTATTTTTCTTTTGAGATAATAACTGTTTTAGTGATACAAGTTTTACTAATTAACCCATAATTGGGGAAAGAAGCTGTAGATTCATATCTTTCCGAAAGGTTTTTTTGCGTAAACGAATATAACTAACCCGAACTGAATTGGAACTCGACTCAAAGATTATCAATTCTGAGCCATTATCCATTACACCACCAGCACATCAATGCTTCCTGCACCTAGATAACATCCCTGAAGACCACCTCTTGCATAGCCTTCGACAATCCTCTCTCTTACAAACCAAATTTGTGTTATAATTAGTGGTTTGCTAGATTCAGCATGCTATATTCAGTTGATATAGTGCTCATAAAGGAGGATTTATATTTCATGATTGAGCACTCTTTTCTTTGCGTTTCAAAGACATTTCCCCTTTTCTTATTAAACTGATTAGCTTTCGGAAGGCATATTTCGCTATTTCAATGTATAGCGCTATCAGTATCAGCCAATATCTTGATAAATGAAAACATATGAAGGGTGTTGCAGAAATTGCTTCAGAAGTAATTGTCTTGATGATTTTCAGTTAAACAAAGTTGATCCCACACGAACAATGTCAAACAATCTTGACAAAAGATATTCATTGAGTGGTAAAAAACCCCGGGTTCTTGGTAAATTACTTTTTTAGACAAATATGCCAATACAAAGAACACAGTCCTCCCTAAGACAGTAGCCGCTGGCGGTGAAAACAGAAAGAAAAAAACGGAACGCGAAAAGGAAGGCACGCCCATTAGACTGTTCACCTCGCTTCATCTCTGCCTCGTTCATCTACAGCTGAAGATTACAACGGAATAAATTTTGCTTACTGGTGCATTACTGGTTTTTATTTCGTGGGTAGCGATCTGATTTATTTTAAGATGGAGTCTGGGCTGGGCCGCAAAGCTAGCAATGCGCATTCTAATTTTAGTACCACATTATCCGTCTTCTACTGAAATAATTCCCAGATATTTAACATTCACTACTTGATTTCGGCATCTCCAATTCGTATTTTGTATCGTGGGACGTTCCTCTTGTTTATAATAGTTCCTATCTTCTTACAATTGACGGCCTGTCTTTTTGGTCATCTCCAAGGGGAAGATAAAAATTATCTTATATAAAGTTTTGACTTACCCTTGTAGTTACGGTAGGATTTGCGGCAGTTTTCTTTCTCTGATTTTCGTAACCAATTTTATGGGTCAACAGTAAATACTGGTAGGACCCAGTGCAACTTGAGATAACTTTTTCTTCACTCCTTGGTGATACAGAATCACAAATAAAAATAACAGAAACCACATCACTTGAGGAATTTCAGGATCAGCAAAAATTAAAATGGATGCTGCATGTAACTCACTTAGAAATTAATGTCATTATTGTTGACCATGTTCACCATAGTCTATGAATATAGAATACAGCGCAGTACTTAATCTGTTCAATGAAACAACGTTAAAGATTAACACTCACGAGTCAGACACTTTACAGAATCTGACTATATCGCCAATACCACCACCAGCTGTTCCGTAATTCTTCAGTCTTCGATATCAAAGGCTGGCAGTGAATATTCGGAAAAAAACATGGCCGCCTTTATACACGTCGCATTGAATATTTTGAGCCTTCTGATTGGTTAACCCTTCTATTGGTGAAATATAAAATGAGTCAGTTCAGTTTGGCTGGCTCACTAGTACACCAGGGTACCCAAAAATTCCAACTATTATCACGATGCTTACATTCCAGATTATAAAAACCTGACCAAATATAACAAATTCTTCACAGACCAAGTAAAACTACAAAATTTCTAGTAACTATTTAGAATGTAATAAATGGAAAAGTAGTTAGAGTAATTCCATAACCTAGTGAAGGTTACTGAATAGAATAGTCAAACAAAGGTTGGTAATAAACGATACTACTTAGGACAAGAACAACGCATATAAGATACGCCAGCGGCGCGTAGAAGTAGTCAACAGCTAGAAGTGAGTCAAGTGAATTACGCAATGAATCTCCAACTGCAGACCAACATACAGTATTTACTACTGTATTTATGTGAATGAGGACATATACATTATCGCCCGTAGGTATGCTACATCAAGTAAATTACAACCTAACCATTTTGCAACCTAATATCCTCACAAATCACTCATCCCACAGCGCAAAGTTATAACTGGTGTGATCAACGTTCGTTTTATAGGATACAGGGTGGATTTTGGAAATATTTTATGGGCAAAGATGCGCCTTATAGCAGCAAAATGTAGTACTTGCTTGGATCTGAGCTTCTAATAGCTAGTTCGTTTCTTATTCTACACTGACACTCTGCTAATATCCATACGTTTTTTTCTTCTTAAGGGTAATGCTTAGCACTTTCTTCTCACTGTAACTTACTGCAACCACACCTCCGTAATGTTTTTTTTCCTGTCTGCCAACCACACTCTGTATACATCGTATCCGATAAATACTATATTTTGCAATCATGAGAACACATTAGAACTATACAATTTTGCTTCACGGCAATAAATTTCAAGCTGATTATCTGTAAAAACATTTTACAATAACGTTCACCTTTTACAAGGCCCGGGGGTTACGCGAAGTAGATTGTTCCGTTTGGTGGTCATTTGTGTGTACAAGAGTTTACTTTCCTAGTAACTTTATACTAAGTGGAAGAGTCCACAATAGCCTCATTAGAGGGAAGA